CCCCCCCTCCCCCCCAGCCAGATTGAGCCTGAAACCCAGGTTGGTGCCCTGGCTTGGAATCAAACCAGCAACCCGTTGGTGCACAGGCCAATGCCCAACTGAGCCACACCGGCCAAGGCTCTCGTTTCCCCATTCTAAATTCCATATTCCCACAATAAGAACCTTGGCTGCCAAATGTTTATTCACTTGCTCAATTTTAGAATAATTATCCCATTATACTACCAAATAAGCCTACTAAGTAAAGTTCAAAATTTCTTTGCAATTATTTTGTCTTTATTTTTAGAGTATGTTTATTAAAGCTGAGGACAGTGAAACAAGGAAGGGCTTAGGGCAGAGGCACAAGGAGCGACTAGGCCGGGCTGCTTTGGCGCTCTAGAAATGTTATGGGAAAGAAGTGAGCCAAGGCGGGACTGTTGTTAGCTCAGTGGAGAGTCAGCCATGGAGACAGGTTCAGGGGTTAGCCTGGGAGGAGCTCCCCACTGTTTCCCTGGTTGCAAGTCTCATGAGGCCCCATAGAGTTTAGGAGATACACACCTGTGGGGGAAGAAGAGGGGAAGAGAAATGTGCGGGCATGCTCCTGGGAGGGAGTGTGCGACTATTTTGTCTTTAGATTGATGGTATAGTCAAAGTACTCTGTTAAAAAGTTACTTGGACTTGTTACATGGTTGTGATCCCAAAGTGACATTTCTAAGATAGTTGTTAGGTTATATGAATTCATTCTGTGCCTCTTTCATTGGAAAACAACTTCCACAAGGGTAGGGAATTTTTTTTTCATTGCTATTAGCCTAGCGCTGCGATTTTCAGCCAGTGTGCCACAAGAATTTTTAAAACATGCAATACCTGACTATTTAGTCAGGGCCACTGACCTCTTTTCTTTCCCTTAGATTGTCAAAAAATGACAACAGCCAACACAACAATAGCCAGCCAGTGTGAATGAATCAAAATTATACGTATTTTTTGTCAGATCGACAAAAATTATAACCTATTTTTTGGTATGCTGCAGAATTTTAGTAATGAATTTGTGTGCCATGAGATGGAAAGGTTGAAAACTTCTGGTCTAGCGCATAGACGCACAAGTATTTGATGAATGAGTAAGTGAATGCCAAGGCTGCGGTGCAGAGGAGGGTTAGGAAGCAAGTCGCCCCCGGCAGAATCTCACAACCTGGTAGGCTTAGAACAGAGTGCGAGACTCCCCAAGGCTTTGGGGGGGGGG